AAATCAAGAAAAATATTTTTTTGAAAAAGGAAGAGAAAGAGTAGGGCGTGCTTTCACGGAAGGAGGCAGAGGAGATGGGAGAAGGTGTGGCTTCTGGCCCCAGGCCTGTCAGGCGCCCCTGAGGCATCACCTACCTGAGATGGAAATGGTGATGAGCTGGTTCCTCTCCAAGGGGGGAGCCCATTTCACCCAAATTAAATACTGGCTGGTTTGTATCATCACCTGTGGGGGCAGGGGGACGTTCCACTCTTGGTCATCTGAAACATTTTATTGTTTTAATATATTTTTATTGATTTCAGAGAGGAAGGGAGAGGGAAAGAAACATCACTGATGAGAGAGAATCATTGACCAGCTGCCTCCTGCACACCCCCTACTGGGAATTGAGCCCACAGCCCAGGAGTGTGCCCTTGGCTGGAATTGAACCCGACACCTTTCGGTTTGCAGGCTGACGCTCTATCCCCCCAGCCAAACCAGCCCGGGCTTCTGAGACGTTCTAGAATCATATTCCATCAGACTGAGACGGCCTCGCGGTACCTGGGCCACGCCTTGGACGGTCCGGAGGACGATGAGCAGGGCCACACCTGCCTCCGCCGCCAGCGGGATGAAGAGGCTCAGGGCGGAGACGGTCAACAGGGCGGTGCCGATCAGGTGCCGGGGTCGGACTAGCCCGGCCACATAGCCACTGGGGATCGAGGCCACGAAGGAGCCGTAGCTGAGGGAGCTGAGGAGGACCCCCTGGATCTCCGGGCTCCAGGCATACACGGGCGCCTGGGTGACAAAGAGAACCTTGCTGCTTATTCTTTGGTGAGAGAGCTAAATATTTCTTTAAATATATTTTTATTGATTTCAGAGAGGAAGGGAGAGGGAGAGAGATAAAAACATCAATGATGAGAGAGAATCATGATGGGCTGCCTCCTGCACGCCCCCCACTGGGGATCCAGCCCACAACCAGGCATGTGCCCTGACCGGGAATGGAACCATGATTTCTGGTTCATAGGGCGATGCTCAACTACTGAGCCACGCCGGCCAAACTCAATAAATAACCCTTTAGATCAGTGGTCCTCAACCTTCCTAATGTCATGACCCTTTAATACAATTCCTCGTGTTGTGGTGACCCCCAAACATAAAATTATTTTCGTTGCTACTTCATAACTAATTTTGCTACTGTTATGAATCATAATGTAAATATCTGATATGCAGGATGTATTTTCATTGTTACAAATGGAACATAATTAAAGCATAGTGATGAATCACAAAAACAGTATGTAATTATATATGGTCTTAGGCGACCCCCCAAAGGGGTCGCGACCCACAGGTTGAGAACCGCTGCTTTAGATCAAGCCATTGAAGCCACAGAAAGGGTCGCGTCTCCTTAAACATACCAGCACCTTAAGTCCCATCAGAGTTCCGTTCCTGTCGCCCAGGGCGACAGAGGAAGAGGCATTGGGCGGGCTGGGCAGGGCCGTGCCGTTCACCATCGCTGGGAGGGCAATGCTCAAGTTCATTTGTTGGGTGGAAATCGCAAAGTTACAGAGATGCAAGAGGAGGGCCAGCCCGTGTCGGACCGAGCACATGCCTGCGACGAGAGGGCACAGAAGGCCTGGTCACCGGGGTCCATTTCTCTCTGCGCCCCCTCTCCGACGTCCGGAACGGGGAGGCGATGGCCGCCGGTCTGTGAGCAGCAGCACAGGGAGAGCAGACGGGGCTGTGTCCGGCAGACACCTGTCCCCCGGGAGGGGCGGGGTCACACCCCCTCAGAACCCAGACCAAAGGGGAGGGGCGCGCTGAGGCAGGCCTGGGTCGAATCCGAGCAGAGACCTACGGCCATGCCTCCTGGACTTAGAGTCAGAGACGCTGAGGTTGAGTCCAGATCTTCTATTTGGCATCTGCTCTGACTTCCTGCCTTGGCGACAGATCACGCCTGGACACCTGCTTTATGACCTTCAAGTTTATTGCACGACATGAAATAATTCTCAGTAGACATTCTTTATAGCTTATAGAATTCGTGGCAGTTGGTGGGAGCGAGGAGATGCTACAGACCCCCAGAAAGGAGCCGAGGTCACCGGGTCCCGGCTTTCTCCACAACCAGCGCCCGCCCTCACCTTTGCTGGAGGCTGGCACTGGAGCCGTGATTCCGTCCCCGCTGCAGGGCGGCCCCCCCGTGGTGGCCGTGGTTTCGGCTCTAGTGGACATGGCGTCCCTCCTCTCCCGGGGCCTGACGTTCACCTGCGGGAATGAAAGGACACACAAGCAAATAGAAGCATCCTATAGTGTACAGGACACTGCCCCGGTTCTCTTAAGAATTTAGAGGAAATGTTTGGTGGGAAAATACCAGGTTAGGGTTCAGGAGACCTGGTGTGTCTGGGAAGGTCAAGGCCTGGGGTCCCAGTTTCTGCGTCTGGAATGAGGGATCTGGCCTGGAGTGCCTGAAGGGTTGTAATTTTCTTCCCATTCAGGGTCTCCTTGTCTCTCAATTGGTATCAGTAAGCACTGGATGTTAAAACAACAATCATATTTTTTAATGTTTTTATTGATTTTAGGGATAGAGAGGGAGACAGAAACATCAATCACTGCCTTCTCAGGCCCCGTGGTGGGCATCAGCTCACAACCCAGCCATGTGTCCGGACCCGGAATCGAACCAGAGACCTCTCTGTGCACCGGACAACGTCCAACCCACTGAACCACATCGTCCAGGGCTTGACCATCTTCAGCGAAATTTCACCCAGAAGATTCCAATGGGTTAAATGACCTGAAACACTGTTTTCAGTGTCTAGACTTCCTGAGTCAAATAGAAGACACGGCGCTCTTAAGCCCTTTGCCCTGGAGATATCCCCACGGATGTCACGGGGAGTGAGAGGCGTCAGCTGGTGGGTGCTGTGAAAGCCTGGGGTGCTGTTGGCTCTAACAGGTTATCTGGAGGCTGACGATAGCTGGTGGGGGGTTCCCTCTGAAAATGACCAGAGGGTTGTTCCGGCAGATTTTTCCCTGGAGTCCTGGGGCTCTCCCTCCTCTCTCACTTTCGGGAATTATCTCAGAAGAGATGAGCTCTGTTCCCCACCCGCACAATCTCTATCCCTGACCAGCAAGGTAAGCTGCTCCTGGGGAAAGACCCAGTCCCCGGACGCAAAGGCAGAGCAGTTAGGGAAAAAAGACCCAAGGCTGACCTGAGGGAGGTAGAGTGCAGGGTCCTCATTCCTTTCAAATGAGTGTCTCTCAGCTTCGCACTTTTTTGACTCCCCAAGAAGTAAATGATTATCCGAAACCTTTAGCCCTTCGGTTGCGAAATGGGCAGATTTGACTGGCTCTGAGGCTTAATGTTTGACTTTGCTGCTTTCGTCTAATTAACAAGTCGACCAAGCTCATTAAATCTCCCTCCTGCTTCACGCCCAGGAGATCAAGGTCCCTTCTTATCGGACAGACACCCCGCAGTCCCTGCTGACAGCTGTCCCGGGGCATCTCGGGTCAGTCTGTCCGTGGGAAAGGCCTTCCTGCCGCCAGGACTGCCGTCTGGTGTTGAAGAGCGGCTCCCGGGACCGTGAGCTCCACCGCCCAGTGTCTCGCACACCAGAGCGGATGGCCTGAGGCTCGTTGTCCCAGCCAGGCTAGTTCCAGCGTCCTGTTGGGTTACTTGGGGTCAAGTCCACTCTTTACTCAGTTTTTAAAAATGTTTTTACTGATTTCAGAGAGAAAGGAAAAGGGAGACAAATGTCAACGACAAGAATCATCATCATCGGCCTCCTGCACACACACCCCCACCAGGGACCGAGTCCGCAACCCGGGCACGTGCCCTTGACCCGGAATCAAACCCGGGACCCTTCAGTTTGCGGCCGACGCTCTACCCAGAGCCAGACCGGCCGGGGCTTGTCAGTCAGTCTCGCCTCAGCTCCTTCTGACCCTGTGGGTGGCTCTGAAAAGAGCCTTTGGTTTCTGAGCGTTTCCTCTCCCGGGATGCAGGTCACTTCCGCTGGCCTTTCTGGTAGTAGCTCTCGGTCTTCTTGGGCAGCAGCACGGCCTGGATGTTGGGCAGCACGCCGCCCTGCGCGATGGTCACCTTGCCCAGCAGCTTGCTGAGCTCCTCGTCGTTGCGGATGGCCAGCTGCAGGTGGCGCGGGGCGATGCGGGTCTTCTTGTTGTGGCGCGCTGCATTGGCTGCCAGCTCCAGGATCTCGGCCGCCAGGTACTCCAGCACCGCCGTCATGTACACTGATGCGCCGGCGCCGATGCGCTCCGCGTAGTTGCCGTTATGCAGCAGGCGATGCACGCGGCTCACGGGGAACTGCAGCTGAGCCCTGAAGGAGCGAGATACAGCCTTGGGGCGAGACTCGCTGTCCTGCTTTCCCGATCCAGACATGATGCTAGACATGCCCAGCGGTAGGGAAAAGACACCCTCAGGGCAAATACAGGGCCAATTTATAGTCTGCCATAGGTTGTGACTTGCCATCTGATTGGCTGACTGGCGGATGCTTATCCAATCAGAAACCAGTACTGAAATCACCTCATTTGCATATACATCACTGCCATTATCCAATCAGATGGGGTTGCCCCGTGGATGTTTATCCAATCAGGAATCAGTACTGAAATCACCTCATTTGCATATACGTCACTGCCATTATCCAATCAGATGGGGTTGCCCCGTGGATGTTTATCCAATCAGGAATCAGTACTGAAATCACCTCATTTGCATATACATCACTGCCATTATCCAATCAGATGGAGCTGCCCAGCGGTCAGTTGAAGGCCACCCTATAAATACCAGGCTTTGGGCCACCAACCGCTGTTCACTGACCTGTGTCAGTTGGAGTGTGCGGCTGAGCACGCACCATGCCGGAGCTGGCTTCGAAGGGCGCCACTATTTCCAAGAAGGGCTTTAAGAAGGCCGTGACCAAGACCCAGAAGAAAGAGGGCAAGAAGCGCAAGCGCAGCCGCAAGGAGAGCTACTCGATTTACATCTACAAGGTGCTCAAGCAGGTGCATCCCGACACCGGCATCTCATCCAAGGCCATGAGTATTATGAACTCATTTGTTAATGACATTTTTGAACGCATCGCGGGGGAGGCATCGCGCCTGGCGCATTACAATAAACGTTCAACCATCACGTCCCGGGAGATCCAGACGGGCGTGCGCCTGCTGCTGCCTGGGGAGCTGGCCAAGCACGCCGTGTCCGAGGGCACCAAGGCCGTCACCAAGTACACCAGCTCCAAATAAAAGGATTCGGCCACCAGATAGATGACCTTTTAACTCAAAGGCTCTTTTAAGAGCCACCTACATTTCCTGAAAAAGAGCTGTCTTTGCTCTAAACATTGGTAGTCTGGCCATTGACATATAGATGTTTTTCTGGGCATTGACTGACTTTGCCCCAAATGTGAACCACAAATACTAGGCTAAACTAGCCATGAATGGTGCACAGCTAAAAACCTTACGGCCCTTTTAGAAAGTGTCTAAGTGGCTCTGAAAAGAGCCTTTGGGTCAGAAGTGAGGCCGCGGGCTCGCGCCTACTTGGAGCTGGTGTACTTGGTGACGGCCTTTGTGCCCTCGGACACGGCGTGCTTGGCCAGCTCGCCAGGCAGCAGCAGGCGCACGCCTGTCTGGATCTCGCGAGAGGTGATAGTCGAGCGCTTATTGTAATGCGCCAGGCGCGACGCCTCAGCAGAGAGGCGCTCGAATATGTCATTGACAAATGAATTCATGATGCTCATGGCCTTGGACGAGATGCCGGTGTCGGGATGCACCTGCTTAAGCACCTTGTAGATGTAAATCGAGTAGCTCTCCTTGCGGCTGCGCTTGCGCTTCTTGCCCTCTTTCTTCTGGGTCTTGGTCACGGCCTTCTTAAAGCCCTTTTTGGAAATAGTGGCACCCTTCGAAGCCAGCTCCGGCATGGTGCGTGCTCAGCCGCACACTCCAACTGACACAGGACAGTGAACAGCGGTTGGTGGCCCAAAGCCTGGTATTTATAGGGTGGCCTTCAACTGACCGCTGGGCAGCCCCATCTGATTGGATAATGGCAGTGACGTATATGCAAATGAGGTGATTTCAGTACTGATTTCTGATTGGATAAGCATCCGCCAGTCAGCCAATCAGATGGCAAGTCACAACCTACGGCAGACTATAAATAGGCCCTCTGTGGCGTGTTTTGGTTAGATTTCCCGTTATTGCTACCACCATCTGAAGTTATGTCCGGGCGTGGCAAGCAGGGCGGTAAGGCCCGCGCCAAGGCCAGATCTCGCTCATTTAGAGCCCAGCTGCAGTTCCCCGTGGGCCGAATCCACCGGCTGCTCCGCAAGGGCCACTACGCCGAGCGCGTCGGGGCGGGCGCGCCCGTGTACCTGGCGGCCGTGCTGGAGTACCTGACAGCCGAGATCTTAGAATTAGCAGGAAACGCGTCCCGCGACAACAAGAAGACGCGCATCATCCCGCGCCACCTGCAGCTGGCCATCCGCAACGACGAGGAGCTCAACAGGCTACTAGGCGGTGTGACCATCGCGCAGGGCGGCGTGCTGCCCAACATCCAACCCGTGCTGCTGCCCAAGAAGACCGAGAGCCACCACAAGGCCAAGGGCAAGTGAGGAACCTGAACATCTAGAGAGAAAGAAACCAAAGGCTCTTTTCAGAGCCACTCAGATCCTCAGTAAAGGCTGTCACAGCGCAGAAAGCTGGGCTTGTGTGGTTCTCTGGGGAGCTTCTTAGGAAACACGGCACCTGGAGACGACCTTTGGTTCTAATAGCAGGTCCTTTAACATTGAGGCTGGAAAGCAGAGGTTCCTGGGCCCTGGCAGCCGCCAGCTTAGCTACTGGAGCCCTTGGGAGGAGGAACAATCGTCCTCTAGCGCGCTGACACCCCGTTCCTGAGCTGATGCGAGCAGGAACCTTACAGAAAGGCTCAGGTAAATGGAGCTAAGGGACGGGTTAGAATAAACCATGTAGCTTCCAGGTTAGCTTGTGGCAGTCTAAGGACGAAAGTCAATCTAACAAGGCTGCGTCCCTCCAAAAGTGCTCGTACCGTTCCTATGAGATCTTTAGGCAGCAGCAACCAGGAGTCAGCAAGTCAGCCTCGCCACGTGGTAACGGGGTCACTGTATTTGGTAACTGACTTCACACACGTGCTTAGTAAATGGAATTTTCTTAAAGTGTAAAGCAAAATGTATCTCAAAAATGAGCTTGATGCCACATGTGATGGAGAGAATCTAGTCATCCTCAGAGGCTGGAATGTGGCATGTTCTTCCATCATAACTTTTTGAAATTATTAGGGAATTTTGGTCCTTTTCAGAAGTTTTAACTACAAAGAAAAGACATTTTTAGTTTGTTTCCACTGCAAATACCAAGTCAAATTGGAAAGTAAATGAACATTTAGGCTGTCAAATACAAAATTACTGTACAGAATTCAAGTTTAGCTGATCTCCAAGAAAAAGAATCTAATTGGTTAGCTAAAAAAACATATTGCTGGACACTCTACACAGACATGTATAGAAGCAGGTGTGAAGATTTAAAGTCCTATAAAGTTAAAGAGAATAAACTACATAATATGTTAATTAGGGATAATTAAGTATGAAATTATCTCTTGAATTAATGTACATAAGTATTAAGGCATACAATTGGAGGAGGCACAAAGGAAGGAAAAATTTAGAAGATAAAACTTGCACAGATATTGGAACAAATTAGATGTTTAGAACATTGCCAATAACTTTAAACTGTGACATTTTAAAAATCAGAATAATGATATAAATGACTGAGCGAGTAGGGATATGTGAAAATTTTCCTAAACAAGAATTTCAAAAATGTCATCTAGATGCTCCCCATCAAGCAAGGCAGCTTAACTCCCAGACTTGCCAAAGCACAGAATGTGGACAGGGGAGAGGGCGTGACTTCACAATGAGAAACCGGGAACACGCCTGTTAACAGGTTCCGGCTTGAAAGTGAAACCAGCTCTGGCTGGCGTGGCTCAGTGGGTGGAGCGCCCTTGTCCCATGCACCCAGAGGTGACTGGTTCGGTTCTGGTAAGAACACACATGCCCCGGTTGACCAGAGCGGGCATACAGGGGGCAGCCAATGGATGTTTCTCTCTCCCTCTCCCTCCTTCCCTAAAAAAATAACATTTTTTTAAGTTAAACAACAAAAGTTATTGCACAGCGACTGAGTTTATTCGGGAATAGCAGAGGAACTGCAATTCTGAACAAGCAAAACATGGTGACCCCCAGGCCAGTATGGAGGACCAAGGAGAGGAGCCGTCACAGAAAAGGAGAAGGTGGGGAGTGAGAGAAGCTTCTCACTGGCCCCTAAACCAGTAGGACTGCCGGCCCCGGAGGGTGTTTCCACACAATCTCCCCGAGTGTCTGACGCGCTCCTTCTTTATTCCGACTTTGCACAAAGTGTAGAGAAGTGAAGTCGCACAGCTCAGGGCGTTGCAGGACCAACGGGAGAACCCAGCTTACTCAAGGCGGGATGTTGCCGGCAGGGGCTGTGGTGCGTCTCCTGGTCTTGTGAACAGTCGACCTGAATAAAGTCCCTCTTTTTTTTTTTTTAAGTATATTTTTACTGATTTCAGAAAGGAAGGGAGAGGGAGAGAGAGAGAGAGAGAGATAGAAACATCCATGATAAGAGACAATCATAGATGGGATGCCTCCTGCACAGCCCACACTGGGGATGGAGCCTGCAACCCGGGCCTGTGCCCTGACTGGGAATCCAACCACAACCTCCTGGCGCATAGGTTGACGCTCAACCACTGAGCCAGGCTGGCCGGGCCTGAAGTCCCTCCTCCTGCCACACTCAGGGCACCTGAGAACAAAAAGGACGGCCGGCGTGCTCCCACCAGGGTCGTGCCCTTCCCCCCTCCAGGTAGAGGAGCAGTGGGGCTGTCAAACCATCACAGACACTGCAAGGGTCACAACCAAATGCAGTCAGCAGCGCATGTCCGTGTGCAGCTGCAGGTTTATTTCCAGGTCAGAGTCGAGTTGCAGACAGCACAGCAGGCACAGCGGGCAGACACGGCAGAAGGTCACGGGAGGGCACAGAGCACAGGGTGGGTACGCTGCCCCTGCCCCATCACTGCGGGGGGATGACAGGGTTCACAGAGGCTTGTGGGGGGGGGGACCCTGAAAGGGGAAGGGAGGTTTGAAAATCACCGAGTTATTAGAAACAAGGGCCCACATCTTTCACGACAAATCCCACACCGTCTGCTACAGAGTTCGCTCACGGTACCCCCTGACAGCGAAGCGCAGATACCAGGCCGCACGCCGAGCGCAGAGCAGAGCCGCCTTCGGGTCAGGGCTGCTCCTCAGCACGAGACACAGACCCAGCTCTGCCTTCGGGATCTTCCCGTCCCGGTTCACGTGGCAGTGACGCAGAAGGCTCTCCCGGGGCCTCTCCAGGTCGGCCCCGCGGACGCTGGGCTGAGGACAGAAAGGACCCGTCCACAGGCAAGACAGTGGCCGCCCTTGGAGGCCCCCTCCCTGGGG